CGAGGTTCAGTAACCCTATCACCCCGCTCATCCAGGATACACGGTATAGTTGTGAGATTCCTCTGGTCCGCCACCAGGTGGGCCAAGAGTCTGCCATTCTTGTCCCCCCTTTCAAAGAGAGATTCCCGGATTCCCCGCAGGGAGCATTTAGTCATCTCCACGTGATGTAAATTGAGGGCCCGGCGTGCCACACGCAGCGCCTCCAGAGATGTCTCCCCCGGAGAATCCGCGAAGGCCGCCGCACAGGCGGTCTCCTCCCTCTGCAGCCCCTCCAATGTGGCATTAAATGCTAGTCGAGAGGCCTTAATAGCCGACACATATTCCCCCCTCACATTCGCCTTGAAGGCATCCCATACAACATTAGGAGTGGCCGTACCTTCATTCACGTCCCAGTAGCAGCCCATTGCAGGCAGTATATGTTCAGAGACTGATTCCACACCCAGCCAGCTCGGCGAGAGCTTCCAACACCCAGAGCACCCCGAGCCCGGGAGTAACAGGGAAACTGATAGGGGTACATGGTCCGACAGCCCACCAGGCAAATAAGCAGCCCCGGCGACCATTCGGAGTAGTTCCCCGTTGCCAATGGCCATGTCTATTCGGGCCGAGGATTGGATTCTTCCACCTCCAGATCTCCTCCAATCCGGCCGTGTCCGCCCAGGAAAGAAGTTCCAATCCAGCCGGTCTGGCCACATTGGAGGAGTCCAGGGAAGCGTCCAGTATGTTGTTAAAGTCACCTGCAATGAGGACCGGCAACGGAAGGAAGGCCGCCAATTTTTGAAATACAGTATAGAGGATCTGCACCTGGAATGGGGGTGGGACATATACATTAACCACAGCCACCTGTAGGGCGTTAATGGTGAGGATTAAAATAAGAAACCTACCCCCAGGGTCAATGATGGTATGCGAGACCGAGCATGGGAGGGACCTGCTAACCAGAATCGATACACCCCTGGCATACACCGAGTAAGTGGCATGGTACGTTTTAGGAAGCCATGGGCGTCTCAATGACAAAACCTTGCTACCCGTCAGATGAGTTTCTTGTAGGAGAATAATATGCGGGCGTTGCAGTTTCAGATAATTCAGAATCATAGAACGCTTGAACTTGTCATTGAGACCCCTCACATTCCATGACATAATATCAATACGATCCCCCATAGCAAAACCACTTGTACATGTGTGGCCCAGGATAGCTGAATGGACACCTTAGGCTTAGTATACATATCAAAGAGAACACCCTCCCGCCTCCCAGAGCACGAAACTGGCACACCCTCCCTGCAACAAACAATCCCATAACCAACATTAAGAACTCCCTTGCTTTCTAGTGGACGAACAACAACAAAATTATAACACCCTCTAGAAGCTTAGACCCAAACTCCCAACCAATTGTCAGAGCACCCCCAGTTAGAAGTGTCCCAGTATGGGGATAAAACACCCCAAAACTACCAAAAAGAAAAAAGGTGGCGGGCTAAACTAAAAAACAGCCAGTTCCAAGTGTAGTGAAGAACTCGTTGCCTCCTTATGGAAGCTAGGCCAACCGCATAACTTGTATGGCAACTTCTGGGCCTTGACGAGGTGACCATTAGAATGCTCGAGTGTTGCAGCAGCACTCCACGGTCCCCACGTAATGCACTCCTGACATGTAGAAAAGCATATTGGGCAGTCACAGAGGTAGGTGTGATGGGTGGACCGGGTAAGTGAGCCATACCAGAAGGAGCTCCTCTATCGCAACGCATCCAGCCAGTCCCCCGCCTGCGTCGGGGTGTCGAAGAAGTGAGCCTTGCCTGCATGTTGGATACGAAGTTTGCTCGGATAGAACATGCCATACTGTATTCCCTTCTCCCGGAGCCTGCGTCTTACGTCCACGAACGACCTCCTGCGTTTCTGGATCTCTGCAGAAAAATCAGGGAAGAACCGGAGTTGCGCATTTCCACAGCACACTTCAGGAGACCTACGAGCTGCAGCCAGGATCCTGTCTCGGTCTCTGTAATTCAGGAGACGGGCCAAGAAGGGACGCGGGGGGGCCCCCGGCGGGGCTCTGCCCGTGGGCACCCTGTGCGCCCGCTCCACCAGAAACGTAGGGGGCAATGTGTCCATAGCCAGAACACGCTTGAACAGGTGTTCAGCAAACTGAACCGCATCTGTACCCTCTTCGCCCTCTGGGATCCCCACAATGCGCACATTATTCCGCCGCATGCGGTTTTCAGCATCATCCACTTTTGCAGCCAGTGCCCGCACGGTATGTTGCAAATCCGTAAGCGTGGCGTTATGTCCCTGCACTTCATCCTCCACATGCGACACCCTCGCCTCGGCAGTAGTGAGACGCGTGCGGATTTTATCCAAGTCATGGCGGATTAGAGTGCATTCTGCTGCCAGGTGGTCAATTTTGGCTGTAAGGGTAACCTGGCACCCCTCTATTGCTGCCAGGATCGCGGAGGTCCCCACTCCTCCTGGGGATTGCGACCTCGTGCCCCCCGAGTTAGAGATCCGGGACTGCTCACCACTCACCCCCTCCACGCCGGCTCCCTCCATGTCTAGCAGCGGCAGGAGAGGCCCAGGAACGAGCACAGGGGAATCCAAGATGGCGCCGGCCTTCCCCTTACCCTTTGCGTTCCGGGTGGATTTCCTTTGTGAAGCGGCACGTCTGCGGGACTTGGCGGACATAGATCTGCTCCCCGGCAAGTCCCGCACAGGAGAGAGGGTCGGGTGCTGCCAGATAGAGCGGTAGGCAGGAGAAGAACAGGATGTCACGAGCGGAGGCAACGGAGCTTCACAGGACACGTGCACTCAGGCTCACATCGCGGCCACGCCCTTTCAATAGGATGTTTATTTTTGCCAAAACAGAATTTACAGTTTGTATGGCAACTAATAATAAATCACACATGTGGAAACCTGATTTATCATACCCTGAAATAATGCTTAAAGAGACCTTGCTGTCATAATAACAATACAAAAACAACTAGGTAATGATGTTACCCTGCAAAAAGATGTTTTGTTCATGCCTTTCCGTGGCTAGTGATTGTAATCCTTGATCTCTTAAAGAGCTCCAGGCGCTGTTGCTATCCAACATTTCTTGGTCTGTCAGATAGTGTGGTCTTCCGTTGGGTGCTGTGGTTCCTCTTGCCTGCTGCTACATTATATAGTCATACCACAACCACCAAGAGGAACCAAAGACCACAGCACAGGGAGGGTAACATGCTATCCTACACAACCAAAAGCGTTGGATAGCAGTTCTCCAGTGGCTGATATGATGATATCATAGTGATCACATGACTGGCAACTACACTGATTGGTTCCCAAGCATTGTATTTGATAGGGCCAGCGATGTCCCAACCAGTGTGTGACTGCTAGTTCTGATTAAAGTGATATTAAAGTCTTCTACAAAATAAATGGCTAACAGATAAGCTTTATTAAGAGACGCTGTATGCCTTCTCTGCCATAAACGCTTCTGCCTTGCCTGCTAGCAATTTGCTATGAATTGTACACTGAGCCACATACATGCAGCTTGCTATACAGTCTTGACATGCCTTGGGTGTGACGGGATGAACTAACTCCCAAGTGTCATTCTGCTGAATATAAGCCATTTTATTTGATTGTTTGTGGAAAAGAATAAAAGTTTATTTGCTTATACGGCTGGCTACGGGTCATATCCGCCCTGAATATTACACTGTGCACATTACCCGCCATGATGCAGATTTTAGTTCCACTTCGAGAACATTTATTACTTCATCACGGGATCATCATCGAAAACAACTTTTGAAACGACATTATCATTTTGAAGCTTATGTGAGATTGTAGTGACAGGGCTAGATACACTTTATGAGGTGTTTAAATGACAAATCAGTGCAGAATCTGTCCCCCTGCTGTCTCTCTGGAATGACAGGGTCTCTTTACCTTTCCTGACCTCATGTCCCACATCATCCGGGCTTTTAAGTTGTACTTTTTGGTCGCGGTACTTTATTTCTCCTTTCCACTTTGAGCCCTTTGGAGACTTCTTTAACTTGAGTTCCAGGGGGCAACGGGTGACAATACCTGCATAGAGCAATATAAAATATTATTATAAGTACTGCATAGAATGATTAGTTATATTTTTGATAATACGAAATCACCTGCGCTCAATACAGCGTACAGACCTTGGATGAGAGGCCGGTGCCTGAAGTGACAACACGGATGGCGCCGTGTCAGATACAGTCCATAATAGAAGTCACCAGCACTTGAAGATATGTGCAAGAAGTGAAGCACTTTTTATTAAATCGTCACATGCGTCAAACAGCCAACGTTTCGGGGCCACGCAGGGTCCCTTCTTCTGGGCGACGATTTAATAAAAAGTGCTTTACTTCTTGCACATATCTTCAAGTGCTGGTGACTGCTAGTTTTATTTTTGGATACATTGAAGGGACCATTTCACTAAAAAATATATATATATTCTACTCAGAAATTTAGAAATATTTCATATGGATATTTTATATTTCTCCTGCTCTGCTCAGATGGCTCTATACAAAGTTTCAATTACGGAGAGAAAGCCTAATAGCAAACACGTGCTCGCTTTTTATAAAACACATACCCTGGAAGAGTTGTAATCGTAGACACTCTTTAGAACAAACATCGGTGTTTGCGATAAATTCATGTACCTGGTTTAAACAGGCACATAAGTTATTGGCATATAGGCGAGCACTGAGGCCAGAGATCCCATACCAGACTCCCTGTCCTCAGTACAGCTCAGTAGCACTGTGCGTAATACAACCACAGGCTCAGCATTATTGAGCTCCCTTCATGGCCATTGCACCTGCCAAACAGGCAAGCAGAGAGGCTACGGAATTTTACTGTTGGGCTGGGTGAGCCTGTGGGGAAGCTAAAGCTGCCCATACACCTAGCGATCTATAGGACGACACTTTTCGTCCGATGATCGAACTGTCGTACGATTTTCGTACGGCGGCCCCATCCTGCCCCGATTATCACAAGGTTGGATCAGCGGTAATTAGAAGAAAGCAGATGGACGAATTGCGGTAATCGACCGCACGTATTTTCGTCTGCGCACGTGCAGTGTAAATCGTACGAATTTTGATGTACGGAAACGCCACCAACCTTTGCGAAAATCGTACGATCGACCGAAGTTTTCTAACCTGCTGGTTAGTCAAAAGTCAATCGATTGTACAGTATTTGCGGTTGTACACTGCCCATCAACCTTACGGATATCGGACGAAGACGCGATCGCATGCGAAAATCGGCCGATAATCGTAAGGTGTATGGACACCTTAAGAGACTAGTTCCCCATCAGCTGCCATCCGCTGTCAATCGGTGCGGTGGAGTTCCCCTTCATGTTTACTTTCCTTGTGATTGACAGTGGATGGTTTCCATAGCAATGGTCATATTTGGTCAATGAAGTCAACCAGCATCCTCATCCTTTTGGTTACATGCAGCTGTTTGCCTGGGAATCTTGTAGCCACCGGCGTTCTAGCAACCAACCACCCCTGATCAACATTTATTATGATACTTTATACTTTTATAGTTTGTTGTTTTTAATTTATATACACATGCGACTTGTGTACATCACGGGTTTATACAGTTGCTGAGATTTTATTTTCTTGTAGATATTTATCACTTTATTGTATCCCACATTTGAATGTAGGATCCTGGAACACATCTGCTCCTGATTCTGGAACATCCTACTTGCTGCTTCTCACATACAGAATGCCACTTGAAGCTGACACCTTTTTTCTTCATAATACTAGGTGAGGCTCTGCCCCACCTGCATCCCCTGACCTCATGTCCCTGGTACAAGGCAGGACGAGCGGTGGTCATTTGTCCTGCATTGTAGGTAATGATGTTGGCAAATGTAGGTGACAGCATGACCAGGCAGAGACTGGAAAGAAGAGTGGCTTCAAAAGATTGGTCATCACTACCAGAGCCAGTATGCAGACCATAGATTAAGGTACGTTTTCCTCAATATTACATCACCCCTTTGAAATAACAAGCAATATATTCTGCATCAGCTGGAGGGCACTTTTTGTTATCATTTTTTAACGTCTTGGACTTGCCTTATAGACTTAATTTTCAATGTTAAAAGTCACATTATGCCCGCTTTAAATATGATGTCACTTAAAAAAGATATGGAATTCGTACCACTGCCCCTGGGAAGACACACGCCAGAAAGGGCCTCCAGTACAGAACTTTTCCCCGAACTCTGGTCGCCAATGACAGCAATGGCTGGCAATCCCAAGTCCTTCTCCACCCCCAGTGACCTCAGCGAGTCAATGAGATCGATGCAAGGACGGATCTTGTACTCATATTGTTGGCTTAGAACGTTCTGTGGCTCTGCCTTGACTGAAACCTCTGCATAATCGTGTGAAATAAGGGCTTGTGCAGAGGGCTGGAGAGAAAACAGACATAAGATATAATGGAGTTGTAAATTCACAGCTTATACAGTATTATCCTGTTATAATATCAGCATTGTAATAAGAATACATACTAGGGTACTAGGGTTGTTTTTGATAAATAAATCATAGCTTACTTGAAAACAATCCCTTTTATGTAGTGAGTGCCGCCTTCTCTCTCCCCATCACTTCCAGCAACTTCTTGGGTTCCCAGTGTGCTTTGTGTCTATTTCCCTGCTGCTTGATGTGATGCAATATGGACTACATATCCCTCAATGCATTGCTTCCAGAAAGCAATGATAATGTTACATTGTTCAGACATTGAGCTGTAGTTCAGAAGGCAGACTCTCTGAGCATTGTCACACAAAGCTGTCTGGATCTCTAAAATTAAACTATTAATGCCCACCTTTACCTAAAATGTTTCCCTGACCTAAAACCAGCAAGCAGTATGGTGGGCCAAAGGCAAGTCAAGACTCCTTGTTTTTATACTTTTCCACACCGATAACTGAACGCATTAAGGTTACAGAATTGGCTTGACCACCATTCAAAGAAGAAGAGGTAAACAATGGAAGCCTACATACTTTTTTCAGTATGTGTGCTTTAGGCAGGGGCGTATCCAACACAGGTAAAACAAGAATTTTTGCCTAAGGCGGCACCTTACGGGGGGTGGCGAAAAATGCAGCCCCCAAATCGGTGAGGCAAGCCAGGCGCACAGAATCAGGCGGCTGCTGGTGGGGTCTGGCGGCGAGCTGCCAGGTGAAAGAGGAGGCAGGGCCGGGGCCGAGGGAGATGCGGCCCAGCCGGCAGAGGCTGTGTGCAGCTTGAGTCTGGAGAAAGAAGCTTCAGGCAGCTCGAGTCTAGAGGAAGAAGCTTTATGCGGCTCGAGGCTGGAGGAAGAAGCTTCGGGTGGCTACAGGTTGGAGGAAGAAGCTGCGTGTAGCTCCAAGCTGGAGGAAGAAGCAGCATGTCCTGGAGGCAGGCTGGGGAGCTGCAGGTAAGAGGAGCAGCACGTAGGCAGGGAAAGGAACCCTGAGCAGCCCACCATAGATCCTGCACAGCCCACCTGATAGTCTCTGCAAGGTCTATGGTGGGCTGTGCAGGGTCTATGGTGGGCTCTGTGGGGTCTATGGTGGGGTTTGCAAGGTCTATGGTGGGGTGCACAAGGTCTATGGTAGGGTGCACAAGGTCTATGGTAGGCACTGTGGGGTCTGCAGGGACTCAGATGGGCTGTGCAAGGTCTATGGTGGGTTGTGCAGGGTCTATGGAGGTCTCAGCCCACCTGAGACCCCGACTTTCCTGCTACGCTAACAGCGCAACCTGTCAGAAGCTGTATCCAGTGACTGACGGGTTATGCAAAATGCCTTAAACAGGAAAAGGTGGAACAAATTTAGATACTAGGGCACACCGAAACCTAAATACACCACTGGAACAGATGGGCATAGACACAAATATATTCAAAGGTGTCAGGTCTCCAGTATATGTAACAGCTTTGCACCTTTCCAGGTACAAAAGGGACAACGTCCCACTATTCTTCCCCTATATGCTCCTATCTTATTCACACCCAACACGATTCCTTCAAACCTAGCCTATCCCTTCCCCACAAATAATCACAATGTCGTCTTGTTAGCAAACGACCCATGATTTTTTTTTTTAAATGTATCCGGGTATATTATCCCCCAGTAAAAGAAATACCCCACTGCATTGGAACCAATTTCAAGAGAACAATATAGCACACTGCCTGGCCATAGTATGTCTGGGATGGAAAAATGGGCAAAATCCCTAGTAATTGTTTATAGAAAATAAAGGGGTTGTTTGCTGATAAAACGACATTGTAATTTTTTGTGGGGTAGGGATAGGCTGTGTTTGAAAGGGGATTATTGTTGCAGCGAATGTGCTGTACTGGGACTATTTAGATGGTATAAACGTTAGCGTCTGTTGTAGTCCGAAACAGGGATCATGTTGGTTGTGAATAGTTTATAAAGACTGTGAACTCCAGACCCAGAGGATTGGTAGGTTTTGTTTTTTGGTGTAACTTTATTCTTTCCTTGTCCTCATCCAGCCTCCAGCCATGCCCGAACCATGCACCTCTTCCCTTAGCTTGCACGGGGGTGTTAGAAATACTCTTAAAAAATGTACAGGACAAAAAGTCTACATACCACTTCAGCTGCTGTGACTTCTTCTTCCACATCCTGTTCTATGGTAGCTTCTGAAATGGCAGATGTTTAAAAATATTATCACAACCTTAAAAGGACTCTGGAATAAGGTTAATATTAGTCCCCGTTTCCCATGGACAGTTCCCACTTTGAGAGGTCTGTCCCCAGGAAACAAACATCCCCGTTGACGTCCCCAGCAGCACTGAACTGCAGCCATATACAGCCAGTTTTGTTCATGCTACGATGCCTGCCTCTAGGACTCTGTATCACTTACTACTGACCCCTGAGCCCTGCGTCACTTACTACTGACCCCTGAGCCTGTGTCACTTACTACTGACTCCTGAACTCTGCGACACTTACTGCTGACCCCTAAACCCTGTGTTACTTACTACTGACCCCTGAAGCATCACTAAACCCTGCATGAATACTGAACCCTGCATTACTTACTACTGAACTCTGAACTATGCGTTACTTGCTACTGTCCGCTACTCAGGTCCGCTGTACTCCATGCTTTACCCTTTGATGACCCCTGTACTTCGAGCATTACCTACTGATGACCCTTTACTCCATGCATTGCCTACTCATGATCCCCGTACTCCATGCGTTTCTTGCTCTTGTCCTCTTTATTCCATGTGTTACCTACCCCTGACCCATGCATACTGTGTGTTACCTACTCCCGATTCCTGCTCTCCGCTCCATCATGCACTCTTGGCTCCTGTGTTACACATTCCTTATCCTGGCACCCTGTGCGTTACACATGTTTGACCCATAGTAAAGTGCACTCTGGGTTTATTCAACCATGCATCTTCAGACGCTCCCACTGACCACGCGCATGATTTGCCGTGGTGCACTATAGACAGCCAGGAGAGAGAAAGCTAGGAGAAACAGCCAGGAGAGAGAGAGAGCGAGGAGAGACAGCCAGGGGGAGAGAGTGAGGAGAGACAGCCAGGGGAGAGAGTGAGGAGAGACAGCCAGGGGAGGGAGCGAGGAGAGACAGCCAGGGAAGGGAGCGAGGAGAAACAGCCAGGGGAGGGAGCGAGGAGAGACAGCCAGGGGAGAGAGCGAGGAGAGACAGCCAGGGGAGAGAGAATGAAGAGTGATAACGAGCAACACATCTGCCTGAAACAGAACCCCTGTGCCCTTCAAGACTTCTCTGCACCCTATGTTTCAGACACCTCCTTGCTCCCCAAGTTCCAGCGTCCCTCCATGTCCCGCACCTCCTCCATGCACTCAAGTTGGAACACCAGGACCCCGTGGTTGCCCAGGTCCACTTGACATTGTGACATCTTGTGTCCAGGTTTCAGCTGGCCTTAACAGGACTCAAAACCTTGACTGCCCGGGTGAATCCCGGATATGTGACAACCGGAGCTACGCCCCTGGCTGCTGCAAAAGGTAAGAGCCCCTCTCAGTACCTGACCCCCCCTGCTGACCTGATGTGGGCCCTGGTACAGGAGGGCCAGGTCTAACCCACCCTCCTTTAAGGTGTCATCCCTCCTGCTGTATCAGGAAGAGTCTCACTTCTCCCGCTTGCTTCTTTATAGCTGAAAAGGAGAAATCTGACCGGAATGGTGAAACCCTTTTGCAGTGGCCCGAGAACCAGGCCCCCTGTTGGATCAAGATCTGACCCTTAGAAAGTAAAAACTGAAATATACATTTTGTGTGAAGAGACACTTTAAATGTATCAGTGTGTATTTTATATTATTATTAATATTCATTTACAAATTACCTCCATTAATCTGTGGGCTTGAGGTTCCGGCCACCAATGACAGTATTGTCTTCATTGCAGATTCGAAAGGTTGTTGCTCTTGAAGATGGCCGCCAGAGAGTATATAGAGATGGCACAGAGGATAGCACAAAACAAGATGGATTCTGGTACCTGCAGGGTACAGCACACATCATTCCATCAGAACCTTCCTCAGCGAACTAAGTGGTTCTGTTCAATTGTCTATATCAATATCTTTTTACTAAATACACTTTATTACCAAAAGTATTGGGACGCTCCTCCAAATCATTGGGTTCAGGTGTTCCGTGAAATTTCCTGGCTACTAAATATTCCGCGGTCACCTGATAGTGGTATTATAACAAAGTGGAAGCAACTGGGAACTCAGCCACGAAGTGGCAGGCCACGTAATATGACGGAGCGGGGTCAGCGCCTGCTGAAGCGCACAGTGCGCAGAAGTCGCCAATGCGTGTTTCCATTGGGATACAGCCAGGTAGCCTTCGGAAACGCGCGACGGTCGCGCGACAGACGCGCATATGTAATACGCCTAGGTGTGAACGAGACCTTATAGCGGCAAAGGGCGGAGCCAACTCAATATTGAACCCTACGGACTAAGACTGGGATGCCATTAAAATTCATGTGCGTGTAAAGGCAGGCGTCCCAATACTTTTGGCAATATAGTGTTTGTGTAAAAGAGAAAAGCTTTGTGTCAATAATGTTATTAATATCTGTTAGTGTTTAAAAAAAACTTGTTTCAGTGTATAATTTCTCTCTGTCACTCTGCTCTCTCCTCCTATCAGCTTGCTTCTTGTCAGCGCATCCACTGATTTGTCCCTTGTACGGCTTCTTTCTCTCACGCCATCGCAGATACTTCTCAGGTCATGTATTATATTTAGATTCCCAATATCTAATTTTAAGCCTTTTCTAGATCATTTCCTGTCTCTGTCTATAGTTGTCTGGCTCAGGTGCTGTGTGGGCGGGGCTCAGACTTTCATACACGCGCTGCTTATCTGATCGCAATGGCGCAAGCCCAAATGAGGATGACCAGCAGGTTAGGTTGGTTCTAGTGGCCGCCTTGGTCTGCACCCCCGGGGTTCTACTAGGCATTCAAGTGCAAGGAGCAGAGGATGTGCAGAATGTTCTCTGTCATCTCAGTGGAGAGGGCAAGAGATAAGCGACGCTCTCTTCCTCACTTCCTGTCACAGTGACACCACAGGAAGTAAGGACATTTTGCCAGTAGGCGAACAGCAACAAAAATCTGACATTGATTCCGTCCCCTCTCTGCTCTGCTAAAGGGAAAAAAAAACGGCTTTATTGTCCCCTTGAGGGATTATCTGCACTTCCTGTCCCAGTGACACTACAGGAAGTAAGGACATTTTGCCACTGGATGACCAACAACAAAAATCTGACATCGTATCCGTCCCCTCCCTGCTCTGCTAAAGGAAACAAAATGCCCTTATTGTTGTTTGTGTTCTTGTAGGGATTATCTGCACTTCCTGTCCCAGTGACACAACAGGAAGCGAGGGCAAATTTCCTTCAACAGTGACACAGCCATAAAAGCCGACGGGGACACTAACCCTTCCTTTTCTATCCACTGATAGAGTATACATGGCCAAGGAACAGCTCTCGTCTGAGATACAATGAAAGAAGAGAAACACTGTTGCAGAAAATAGATGGAATGGGGGGAATTCATCAAAGCTGGAGCAGACAGGATCCGGGTCAGCTGTGCATGGCAACCAATCAGCTTCCTTCTTCAGTTTGTTAAGCTAAGATTTGAAAATGAAAGACAGAAGCTGATTGGTTGCCGTGGACAGCTGCCCCAGGATTACGGGAAAGGGGCGGGACACCTCTCCCCATCTGCAGCGTCAGCCACGCTATCAAAAAGACAGCCAGCTGAGCCAGGAGAGAGAGAGAGAGAGACAAGGGAGAGCGAAAAGAGAGACAGAGAAGGGAGAGCGAAGAGAGAGAGAGAGAGAGAGAGAGAAGAAACAGCAGAGAGAGAGAGAAGAGACAGGAGAGAGAGAGAGAGAGAGAAGAGACAGGAGAGAGAGAGAGAGAGAGAAGAGACAGGAGAGAGAGAGAGAGAGAGAAGAGACAGGAGAGAGAGAGAGAGAGAGAAGAGACAGGAGAGAGAGAGAGAGAGAGAAGAGACAGGAGAGAGAGAGAGAGAGAGAAGAGACAGGAGAGAGAGAGAGAGAGAGAAGAGACAGGAGAGAGAGAGAGAGAGAGAAGAGACAGGAGAGAGAGAGAGAGAGAGAAGAGACAGGAGAGAGAGAGAGAGAGAGAAGAGACAGGAGAGAGAGAGAGAGAGAGAAGAGACAGGAGAGAGAGAGAGAGAGAGAAGAGACAGGAGAGAGAGAGAGAGAGAGAAGAGACAGGAGAGAGAGAGAGAGAGAGAAGAGACAGGAGAGAGAGAGAGAGAGAGAAGAGACAGGAGAGAGAGAGAGAGAGAGAAGAGACAGGAGAGAGAGAGAGAGAGAGAAGAGACAGGAGAGAGAGAGAGAGAGAGAAGAGACAGGAGAGAGAGAGAGAGAGAGAAGAGACAGGAGAGAGAGAGAGAGAGAGAAGAGACAGGAGAGAGAGAGAGAGAGAGAAGAGACAGGAGAGAGAGAGAGAGAGAGAAGAGACAGGAGAGAGAGAGAGAGAGAGAAGAGACAGGAGAGAGAGAGAGAGAGAGAAGAGACAGGAGAGAGAGAGAGAGAGAGAAGAGACAGGAGAGAGAGAGAGAGAGAGAAGAGACAGGAGAGAGAGAGAGAGAGAGAAGAGACAGGAGAGAGAGAGAGAGAGAGAAGAGACAGGAGAGAGAGAGAGAGAGAGAAGAGACAGGAGAGAGAGAGAGAGAGAGAAGAGACAGGAGAGAGAGAGAGAGAGAGAAGAGACAGGAGAGAGAGAGAGAGAGAGAAGAGACAGGAGAGAGAGAGAGAGAGAGAAGAGACAGGAGAGAGAGAGAGAGAGAGAAGAGACAGGAGAGAGAGAGAGAGAGAGAAGAGACAGGAGAGAGAGAGAGAGAGAGAAGAGACAGGAGAGAGAGAGAGAGAGAGAAGAGACAGGAGAGAGAGAGAGAGAGAGAAGAGACAGGAGAGAGAGAGAGAGAGAGAAGAGACAGGAGAGAGAGAGAGAGAGAGAAGAGACAGGAGAGAGAGAGAGAGAGAGAAGAGACAGGAGAGAGAGAGAGAGAGAGAAGAGACAGGAGAGAGAGAGAGAGAGAGAAGAGACAGGAGAGAGAGAGAGAGAGAGAAGAGACAGGAGAGAGAGAGAGAGAGAGAAGAGACAGGAGAGAGAGAGAGAGAGAGAAGAGACAGGAGAGAGAGAGAGAGAGAGAAGAGACAGGAGAGAGAGAGAGAGAGAGAAGAGACAGGAGAGAGAGAGAGAGAGAGAAGAGACAGGAGAGAGAGAGAGAGAGAGAAGAGACAGGAGAGAGAGAGAGAGAGAGAAGAGACAGGAGAGAGAGAGAGAGAGAGAAGAGACAGGAGAGAGAGAGAGAGAGAGAAGAGACAGGAGAGAGAGAGAGAGAGAGAAGAGACAGGAGAGAGAGAGAGAGAGAGAAGAGACAGGAGAGAGAGAGAGAGAGAGAAGAGACAGGAGAGAGAGAGAGAGAGAGAAGAGACAGGAGAGAGAGAGAGAGAGAGAAGAGACAGGAGAGAGAGAGAGAGAGAGAAGAGACAGGAGAGAGAGAGAGAGAGAGAAGAGACAGGAGAGAGAGAGAGAGAGAGAAGAGACAGGAGAGAGAGAGAGAGAGAGAAGAGACAGGAGAGAGAGAGAGAGAGAGAAGAGACAGGAGAGAGAGAGAGAGAGAGAAGAGACAGGAGAGAGAGAGAGAGAGAGAAGAGACAGGAGAGAGAGAGAGAGAGAGAAGAGACAGGAGAGAGAGAGAGAGAGAGAAGAGACAGGAGAGAGAGAGAGAGAGAGAAGAGACAGGAGAGAGAGAGAGAGAGAGAAGAGACAGGAGAGAGAGAGAGAGAGAGAAGAGACAGGAGAGAGAGAGAGAGAGAGAAGAGACAGGAGAGAGAGAGAGAGAGAGAAGAGACAGGAGAGAGAGAGAGAAGAGACAGGAGAGAGAGATAGAGAGAGAAGAGACAGGAGAGAGAGGAGACAGGAGAGAGAGAGAGATACAGGAGAGAGAGAGAAGAGACAGGAGAGAGAGATAGAGAGAGAAGAGACAGGAGAGAGCGAGAGAAGAGACAGGAGAGAGCGAGAGAAGAGACAGGAGAGAGCGAGAGAAGAGACAGGAGAGAGCGAGAGAAGAGACAGGAGAGAGCGAGAGAAGAGACAGGAGAGAGCGAGAGAAGAGACAGGAGAGAGCGAGAGAAGAGACAGGAGAGAGCGAGAGAAGAGACAGGAGAGAGCGAGAGAAGAGACAGGAGAGAGCGAGAGAAGAGACAGGAGAGAGCGAGAGAAGAGACAGGAGAGAGCGAGAGAAGAGACAGGAGAGAGCGAGAGAAGAGACAGGAGAGAGCGAGAGAAGAGACAGGAGAGAGCGAGAGAAGAGACAGGAGAGAGCGAGAGAAGAGACAGGAGAGAGCGAGAGAAGAGACAGGAGAGAGCGAGAGAAGAGACAGGAGAGAGCGAGAGAAGAGACAGGAGAGAGCGAGAGAAGAGACAGGAGAGAGCGAGAGAAGAGACAGGAGAGAGCGAGAGAAGAGACAGGAGAGAGCGAGAGAAGAGACAGGAGAGAGCGAGAGAAGAGACAGGAGAGAGCGAGAGAAGAGACAGGAGAGAGCGAGAGAAGAGACAGGAGAGAGCGAGAGAAGAGACAGGAGAGAGCGAGAGAAGAGACAGGAGAGAGCGAGAGAAGAGACAGGAGAGAGCGAGAGAAGAGACAGGAGAGAGCGAGAGAAGAGACAGGAGAGAGCGAGAGAAGAGACAGGAGAGAGCGAGAGAAGAGACAGGAGAGAGCGAGAGAAGAGACAGGAGAGAGCGAGAGAAGAGACAGGAGAGAGCGAGAGAAGAGACAGGAGAGAGCGAGAGAAGAGACAGGAGAGAGCGAGAGAAGAGACAGGAGAGAGCGAGAGAAGAGACAGGAGAGAGCGAGAGAAGAGACAGGAGAGAGCGAGAGAAGAGACAGGAGAGAGCGAGAGAAGAGACAGGAGAGAGCGAGAGAAGAGACAGGAGAGAGCGAGAGAAGAGACAGGAGAGAGCGAGAGAAGAGACAGGAGAGAGCGAGAGAAGAGACAGGAGAGAGCGAGAGAAGAGACAGGAGAGAGCGAGAGAAGAGACAGGAGAGAGCGAGAGAAGAGACAGGAGAGAGCGAGAGAAGAGACAGGAGAGAGCGAGAGAAGAGACAGGAGAGAGCGAGAGAAGAGACAGGAGAGAGCGAGAGAAGAGACAGGAGAGAGCGAGAGAAGAGACAGGAGAGAGCGAGAGAAGAGACAGGAGAGAGCGAGAGAAGAGACAGGAGAGAGCGAGAGAAGAGACAGGAGAGAGCGAGAGAAGAGACAGGAGAGAGCGAGAGAAGAGACAGGAGAGAGCGAGAGAAGAGACAGGAGAGAGCGAGAGAAGAGACAGGAGAGAGCGAGAGAAGAGACAGGAGAGAGCGAGAGAAGAGACAGGAGAGAGCGAGAGAAGAGACAGGAGAGAGCGAGAGAAGAGACAGGAGAGAGCGAGAGAAGAGACAGGAGAGAGCGAGAGAAGAGACAGGAGAGAGCGAGAGAAGAGACAGGAGAGAGCGAGAGAAGAGACAGGAGAGAGCGAGAGAAGAGACAGGAGAGAGCGAGAGAAGAGACAGGAGAGAGCGAGAGAAGAGACAGGAGAGAGCGAGAGAAGAGACAGGAGAGAGCGAGAGAAGAGACAGGAGAGAGCGAGAGAAGAGACAGGAGAGAGCGAGAGAAGAGACAGGAGAGAGAAGAGACAGCAGAGAGAGACAGAGGAGAGGAGGAGGAGACAGCAGAGAGAAGAGAAAGCAGAGAGAGAGAGAAAGCTAAGAGAGAGGGATACAGGGGAGAGCGCGAGGAGAGAGAGAGCGCTAAAAGAGAGAACAGACAGCTGAGAGAGAGAAGAGACAGCAGAGAGAGAGAGAGAGAGAAGAAACAGCAGGAAAAGAGAGAGCGTGAAGAGACAGCAGAGAGAGACAGAGGAGAGGAGGAGGAGACAGCAGAGAGAAGAGACAGCAGAGAGACAGAGAGAAGAGAAAGCTAAGAGAGAGGGATACAGGGGAGAGCGCGAGGAGAGAGAGATGCAGTAGTCCCAGTAACGATTTTAATGTGCTTGTTCTTTAAATAAAAGTGTTTTTTCGTTGGTAGATCTCACTGAGCTCGTCATTTGAAAGGTAGACCTCAAGACGAAATATTGTGGCCCCCCCTGGTGTAGAGCAGTGGTTGCATTTCATTCTATAGGGGTATAATATAACGCAGCACCTTGCCCTATTCTCTGACCTAACTTCCTTATCATTAGACATGTATGTGTCATCTCTACGGGAGACGTACTCACCGCACCCGGTCAGCTCGCAGATCTCGATGCAGAATGAATCTCTAACAAGAAAGTGAAACTGCAGATCTCCTGCCAGCATTCGTCCCTTCCGATGAAATGAAACTGAACGTGTTCAACTTATCCTCAGCACCACTCGCAGCCCTAACACCCATCGTCATTGTAACCCTTTCATCGCCAGGAGTGCGGCCGCAACTACAAGATACAGAAAATGTGTTACATAGTATTTGAGGTTGAATAAAGACATTAGTCCATCAAGTCCAACCTATTAGGATCTCATTCTAGGAGTACCTGTACCCCTGTATATTACAAATAAAAGTTTATAAAAGGAAAAATGCGCATTGATTATTTTTAGCATCTGAGGCAGCAAAGCATTGCAACCGCCATCGGTGGATCAGTAGATGGGAAAGTGCAATGGTCGGGTTCCTGCAGATTCTCCGCATCGAGGAAGGACATTCAGTAACATGGACTTAAAGAGGAATGAATGTACCATCACCTCTGCCGTGGTGGCTGATGGGACTTTGTAATTTTCGCCATTCGTCCTTCCTGTGAAAGGATCTGTGAATGAGTGACACGACTGTGTGGGCGGGGCCACGCACAGCTGTGCCAAATGACAAAAATGGCTGCAGCCTATGGGGTGAAGAACTCCGCAATTCAGGCAAATGGGTGGTGGGTGCCCATGTGACCATGTTTCATATAACACCCTGAATGTGGGTCAATGTAAACCGGATATACATGCTTATATTTTCTTGGTTCAACCTGCGAGCTGAAAGAAGAAAATAGAACAGATTCCTCCGTTGACGCTTACGGCCATTGATGGATGAATCCACCGCTGTTTGCATTGTATTCTGACAGCGGCCGCCAGCTGATTTGCTGCAAGCTCCGTTCCAATTAGAATTGAAAAGCTGACCAAGGGTTTGCCGAGCAGAAGTGTGCTGACCGTGGCACCCACCATGCGAATTTTGGGCGGTTCATCAAGGACCGGCCAAAATTCATACCATGTATACTCAGTTTTAGGGCCCGTTCACACCAGATGCAGTGCGTTCTGGCCCGATTCTGGCCAGAACGCACTGCCTTGCATTGTGGCTGGCTCAACTTTTTGTGGGGCAGGCGGGGGCGTGGCGGCCCATTGAAGTGAATGGCACCGTAGCCTCCTGCCGCACGGGATCGGCCGCACGGGATCGCAAGGCACATTATGTCTGAGGTCCGGTGCGATCAAAGTGCTGCAAGCACTATTTTGATTGCACCAGACCGTAGGCATAATGTGCCTTGCGATCCCGTGCGGCCGAGAGCCCGACTTTTCAGAGGGGGGCGACACCAAAATGGCTGACAGTCACTCCATTGGTGTCACCCAGGTGCGGACCGCACCCCCCTAATGCTAATCAGGCATATTAGGTATTAGGTGATCACTGGCTGGGGCTTCGCGGGCACCAGCGAGGGGCCACCTAATTAGAGAGCCGCGTCTGCTGCTTCCCGTCCAACTGACCAGCAGCACCAGGCCCATGATGCTCCTAATCCGACCCTGGTACTACATAGCTGCTGGTAGATCAAAAGGCGATCGTACAATCAGATTGTTGCATGTGTGGTGTGCTTAATAAGTACACCCCGCAGGACTTGTATGTGAAACACTGACAGTGCCTCCAACTATGGTGTGCATGGGGCCCATAATGTAACAGCAGGTTACACTTTGCACTGATAGGTACAATTCGGTTACACTGCAGGGCTGGGTTCACACCTGGGCGTTTTTCAGTGCTGATCGAAGCACTGAAAAACGCTCAAGAAGTGAAACCCTATGAATCACTATGGGCATGGTTCCCACCTGGGCATATTTCAGCGCGATTTGTCGCGCTGAAAATCGAACTATGCGCGGAAAAGTACTTGAGCTTCTTTTTCGCGCGTAGGGGCCGATTTCAGCGCGTATTCATTGGTGTTCCCGAGTGTGGCTCGGGGTTAACAAAGCGGTAACCCCGAGCCACACTCGGGAATACAGCGTAGGTCTTACCTTGTCCTCGATCCCCAATGTGTCCTCCGGCCGCTGCCGTCTTACGGGTTCCGTCCCTTGCGAGCGTCCGCGTCGCAGAGGGGCAGAACCGGCGGAAGTTTGAAAGTTAAAAAAAATAAAATTAAAAAAAGGAAAAAAATAAAAATCATACCGCCTGGGAGGTTAAAAACCGAGCTTCGAAAGCGCGTTTCATTGAACGAAAAATGTGCTAAAAACGAGCATGAAACGCACCTATTAGGAACGCCCATGTGTGAACCCAGCCTAACTAGCTGGTAACTATTTCCTTCTACTGATACTTCCTTGTCATATGACTGAATGTACTTCTACCAGAGATGAACAAGAGGAATGTGGATTCTCTAGACCAGGCCTTCTTAAACTTTTTCCACTCGGACCCCTTTTTGGCCAAGGACATTTTTAAGGGACCCCAATGTCGGTCGGTTTCTCTCTCCTCTCCTCTTCCCTCCCCTCCCAGCACCAGTCAGTGTATCTCTCCTCAGGAAGGTAACAAGTGCACAGGGGGGGCCATGACCTTAAAAACTACACTACAAATTATACATTTAACTGAAATAAAACAATCTAGCTTGGAGCCAAGACCTCCTCGGCTGCCTGGGCCCCTCACACAAGTAACGGCCATACCCCCCTGATGGCGGTCTTGGCCGGGGACTCGGATCGCGACCCCCCTGTTCACTTGCGGGACCCCATATGGGGTCGCGACCCACACTTTAAGAAGCACTGAATTCTGGTCATTTGTAGAGCTAATAAACAAGCTCCAATAAAAGGCATTAAAATCTGAACGCTGCCATCGGAGAATATGAACCAATGCCAAGAATAAAAATAGAAACAGTATCCCTCCCCAATGCCTCCAACACACACTGACAATATGGCTGCTGTGAACCCACCCTTTATAGTGATATAGGGGGCGGGGTTATCTATTTCATCAGATTATTGGCTCTTGTGACCCAGCTGACCAGCTGTGACCCAGCTGACCAGCTGCTGTATACTGCATTATAGGTTGTTCCTTATTTCGGGTAGCAACATTTATGGCAAAAACTTTGTAGTTTGCAAATCCTGGGGATTCGCTGTGGACCCATGGCAGCCTTGTCTCTAGTTGGCAATGACCACTTCTATATTTCTCTCAGTAAAAAGTGAATAGCTGTATTCTGCCACTCCCAGTGCAGTCCGATCGGGTCCACCTGTCAGTTTTTCAGGCGGTCCGATCGAATGCCCAATGCAAGTCTACGGGCAGCTGTGTGTGTGATGAGAGTCCATTTACGCGTGGTTACCCCCACCTTCGGCTGGGTCAGAAAAAAACAGACAGAACAGTGTTCCGTTTCAATGGGCCGGGTCGTTCCAGACCGGGGGTAATCTGATGTAAATGGACATGTGTCCGTCATCATCAGATTCCCCATAGACCGGCATGGGGTCCGGCAGTTTCAGCTTTTTCCTCCATCACAAGATGGAGGAAAAAAACTGTACGGACACAGATGTCACAGCGGTAACATCCGCTCCGTACTGCTCTGATCAGCAGAGGATCTGGGTTGGAAGGTTCTGAACTAGAGATTGTAGCAGAGAGTCAATGACCTGCGGTATGGGTTGTGTTATCGAGTCTCCAATACTACAGGCATTCGAGCATGCTCATTGACAAGAAGATCCGCCATGTCTTTATCAAGCCACACGTTGACAGAGCCGATATTAACCAGAGAAACCAGTTCTGGGAAGGTGTTGCATGCATGATGCTCCATGATGTGGCAGCATAGCTGGATTGGTCTGATAACATCTCCTATATCTTTGACTTATATTCAGAATAGTCCATACTGATCACTTCACCGCCCTTACCACGGGTGTGATATGACTGGGTTTAGCTAAATGTCATTTGAGCTTAAGCGATCTCTCAAATCTGAACAGTTCCACCTCAAACTCAAAAGGATTGAATTTCCCCATGGGGCAAAAGGACAAGCCCTTGCTGAGCAGATTACACCTACCCTGTATGAGTGGTTGTGATGACAGGTTGATCACTGGGCTCTCCTCGCAGGTCTCCCCCTGTTGGATTGAGTGTTGATACCTGTTCCCATGGCCCCTCCTGGGTCGGCGGTGTCTCCGTCCCTGAGAAATTGGGATGCTGGATCCATCGTTGGTTCCACTGAAGCCCATGGTTCACTATCTCATGAGGGATTCTCAGTCAGGCGGTCACTCTCTGTTGTCTGTCCTAGGTGGTGGTCTTCTACGGTGGCGACTCTTTCCCGTGCAGTGTTAATTTTGACAGCAAATTTAGTTTTAGTCATAGTCTTTTGACTAACATGCCATTTAGTTTTAGTCATATTTTAGTCATCTGAATTGTTTTACAGGGCTATTCACAAAAGGGTGAAGAGTTTGGGGAAGGCAGGAGAAGTGAACAATCTAGGCCAACATAGCTGAACTGGAAAAATTCTCCAATTCAGCTCACTATCCAAATCAGCTATGTTGTCCTAGATTGTTCACTTCTCCTGCCTTCTCCAAACCCTTCACCCTTTTGTGAATAACACTGTTAGTTTTAGTCTAATTGTAGTTGACTAAATATCATAAGATTTTAGTCGACTAAATCCACAGTAGATTTAGTCGACTAAAATCTAGTGGGTTTAGTTAAAAAGAGTAATTTAAGAATTTCTCCAGAATTTCCAATCACATGATATACTCCTTGCTAAAACATCTGTTAACCTGTTATTACTTATGGTATTAAGGTTTTAACATGCAATGCAGACACAGATTTACTGTTGTGATCAATAACATGTCTTTATTTATCTTAAAATTAGATTAAACTAAGTCTTATAAAGAAACAATAATATTGAGGATTTTCAACAAAGTACCAGTATTTAGCTATTCGGCCTCATCTTAAATATGCGGTACAGTTCTGGTCGCCGACTCTCAGGAGGGACGTCCTGGAACTGGAGAGAGTTCAGAGAAGGGCAACAAAACTAATTAAATGGATTGAAGGCCTGAGTTATGAAGACCACATTCAAAATCTTAACCTATTCACCTTAGAAAAGGGACGATTAAGAGGGGACATTATTGCAGTCTTCAAAATCATCAATGGGGATTGGGGACAACAATATTAGGGACAAACTGTTTAACTTTATTGAGAACTTGGGGACACAACAAGAGGTTAGAAGAGAGAGGGTTTAATCTTAGAATTCATAGGGGCTATTTGACTGTGAGAGTGGTGAAAGTTTGGAATTCCCTACCCCAGGCGGTGGTATCTGCGAATAACATTGATAAATTCATGAAACTGGATGAGTTTCTCCTTTTGCAGAATTTACAGGGATATGGGAAGTTGTAAAGCCAGATAAATACACACTCACATTCTGTACATAGGTGGAACTGGATGGACCTTGGTCTTTAGTCAAGCTTACATACTATGTCACTATGTTACTATCTGCATTGTTTATAACAACTTGCATATGACATTCTTAATTCTTTCAAGCAAAAGTGCAACTCTAAAATATTAAAATGAAAATCTATATTGTCTGTAGTACCATTGCACACATTACCTATTAGCCATCCACTCAGGATGGAACCAGAACTGGAAGTCGAAAGTGATTAGTTCTGATTGGATCTATTCCCAAATCGTCTCTCCCTAACAGTGTAGTTTAGTTTTAGTTAGTCAACTAAAATGTCAATATATTTTTGTTATAGTTTCAGACATCATAACTTATGGGGTTATTCACTAAAGAGCCCAAGGATCCAGCCATAGCTTCGGCTGATCCTTCGGCTCTCTTCGGCCGCCTCTGCCCTTCCGGTTCAGTCGAACCGAAGGGCTGCTGTACCGGCTATAATAGCCGGTACAGCAGCTGAAGGCAGCCGAGCGCCTCAGCCGAGCGGCTCAGCCATGCTGAAGGCATATGCTTCGGCTCGACTGAGCCATAGTGACATCCGAAGCATGGAGAACGGTCGGCCGAAGGCGACCGATCTCCACGCAGATGGCAGCTGGGCGGAGCCGAGCCGTGATCTCACTGCTGGCTCCACCCAGTTGTAATAACAGATCAGCATCCCCAAATGACCTGGGGATGCTGATCTGTCATTAAACAATAACAACTAGGCGGAGCCGGCCGTGACGTTGTTGGCCGGGACCTGCTAGAAGACTCTGGCAGGTGCTGGCCAAGAGGAAACAGTTGGGCTGAGCTAGCTGTCACTGCTAGCTCCGCCCAATTGTTTTTTTTCCTCTTTTCTTTAAAATATTTGTATTTATTTTCTTATTTTCCTATTTCTTTTTATCATTTTAAAAAATTTGCAACTTTTTTTTCTCTCATTATTTTCACTTCTTTTCTATTCTGCTCGGTACCTCGGAAGTACCGAGCAGAATAGCCGAGCCAAATGCCGCTGCTATTCATTCACAGCCGTTCAGCCCCTATGGGAATAGGGGCGAACGGCAGTGAGTAAGCTGCCAGAGCTTCGGCTCAGCCGATCCAGATCAGCAATTTGTCTTTATCAGAGATTTTTTTTCTTCAAAAAATTGATAAAATTAATCCAAATTAACCACCTGCTGACCGGGGTGTTTACACCCCCTTTCCGGCCAGGCCATTTTTCAGTATTCAGGGCTGCGGTACTTTGGCTGAAGTTTAATCAGTCATGCAACGCTGTACTGAAATTAATTTTATACCATTTTTTGGGGACACATAAAGCTTTCTTTTGGTGATATTTAATTTTATGTTTAAATAACATTTTTATAACAAAAATAGTACTGAATATTTTTTAAAAAAATGGTTTTCCCTTAATTTTTTAATGAAAAATTTAGTTTTACCCAATTTTTTGGTAAAATATAAAAGTCGACCCCGGTAAATAGACACCAAACATGTCAAAACACCATAGCCAAAATTGGTCATAGGCGACGCTTTAAAAGATTTTACCGCTCATCAGTTTAGTGTTATCAGTGATTGATGGGCCTAGAATTATTGCTCTCTTTGCGATGTTCGCAGCGATATGTAACATGTACAGCATAATTGGAGCAATTGTTGTTTTTGCGTGTAGACGCCACTAACGCATTTTTGCGCATCTATGTGGGGGTAGTTTTTTTTTTTTTTGTGCGTGTACATTTTTATTTATTTTGTGAGCAATTTTTTTTTTTAAAGTTTTTTTACACTTAACTTCTTTGTTATCACATAGGGTGCTTCTATGTGATAACAAATTACAGTTACAGGTCCCCTCTCTAAGACCCCTAATGTCCCCTAGGGACCCCCAGAGAAGCTGATGAAGCACAGATCTGCTTCATCAACTTCTCTCCGGTTTCTGTACCGGAGAGTGACAGAGGAATGTGGAATCACTTCCTGCATTCAGAGACTGGGGAAGAGAGCAGAGGGAGATCGGGTATTGATCTCCCTCCGTTCTCAGTGCACAGAGCCGCCACATCGCCCATGATGGATTGATGCCCGGGATCGCGGGGAAGGCGGGGACAGCGTCGGCGACCAGAGGTAAGCACCCTCACTTGAATCATACATGCGATCGGGTGTCTCTACAGACGCCGGACCGATTGTATGTAAACGGCCAGGCGGTTTCCCGCTCGTGCACGCCAGGGGGCGCGCGTGAGCGCGGGCACGAAAGATGTCTAAAGACATACAGAGCAGCGTAGATAAACATTATGAAAGTGGTCCACACACTGTAGAAATGTCACAAGACCACCACATACCTACAGTGGAACTTTTATTAACTTTTAAACGTTATTGGCGGGATTATGATGTAATTATGACATCAGAAGGGGGCGGTCTGTGTTTTTTTGCTGATGGTTTGTCACTGTGTATATTTGTGTACATTATAATGTATGGTTGTAACTATATTTGCCTGATGAAGGGACCGCGTATGGTTTCGAAACGTTGCTGTCCATTAGTGATGGCTGTCCATTTTTAGTGTCTAAATAAAGGCATACTAATACACTGAACCTTGGTGTCTGGGTGACTACTTCTACATCTGGCACTGGAACTGTTATCTTAGCAGGCCGCAGGCCTTGGAGACAAAGGGCCTTTGTACTTTTCTCACCCTCCCAGGGCAGCAAACCTAGGAGGCAAAGGGCCTATGTACTCTTGTCACCCTCCTCAGGCAGCGGGCCTAAGAGGAAGAGGGTCTATGTACTCTTGTCACCCTCCTTAGGCAGCGGGCCTAAGAGGAAGAGGGCCTATGTACTCTTGTCACCCTCCCCATGCAGCAGGCCTAGGAGACAAAGGGCCTATGTACTCTTGTCACCCACCCCAGGCAGCAGACCTAGGAGACAAGGGGCCTATGTACTCTTGTCACCTTCCCCGAGCAGCAGGCCTAGGAGGCAAAAGGCGTATCTACTGTTGTCACCCTCCCAAGGCAGCAGGCCTGGGAGGCAATAGCAGGATCTCTTACACTGGCAGACTCTTCAGGCAAAGCCTGGGAGGCAAAGACCCACCTAGAAGGGCTCCTTAAATATATCTCTTCCCCAGGATATATACTGTATATAGAATTCAGTCAGCTATGAAATTACTATTTCAGCTAACAACATTGGCTCTGCTGCACTAAAATCCCAAGCAATGTTGTCAGCCCTACTTAGTGCTTATGTTGTGGTCTGCTATAGAACACCTTACCCTCTCCTCATGTCCATAACATAAACGGGGAGTTTTCTGCAGTCCAACAGAAGAACCTGCTTCATAGCTGCTAGCAGGATCACTTTAAGCCAGCAACATACAAATCAGTCCCTTCCTCCCCGAGTATCGTTTATCCTTTGCATACAGCATTTCCCAATCTCCACGCTGGATGACGTTATTCAGAGCTGTGAGCTTTTATTTGCTATTGCATATTATCTAAAAAAATCTTGGCCACATTCCAGTTGCTGAGGGTGATTGTTGTTCTCTATCAGTAGCATGTCTATATTTATAATCTTATTTTTCTTTCCTCATTCTTATTATGTGACTTAAGTATGTATCAAAAGCCAAAACATTTTGTTACAGGTCTGAATAGAGTGAGGTAAGGTTAAACTCCAGGATAAAACACCCTGTTTGTTTTTTTATTGCAGACATCCCAACCTGCAAAACCTTATTTCAGGGAGGTTCCCGTCTCATATTTTTAAGAGCCCGTGGACTTGCATCATAAAACAAACTTCCCCCTGTGAACAAAAAAAGTGAACCGTGAAATCACAGCACACAAAAATGTGCACAAGGGTGCTTGGTCCTTCACAAAGAAGGGACCTCGATTCCCGACCCCCTGGAGCGCAAGGCTCCTGACAGGGGTTGAGACTGTTGGCCCGCCAGCCTCCGGGACAGGTCCAACACAGTAATGCAATTCTGATATCTTATCGGAAAGGTTTACTCAGAGTAAACCTTTCAGGGAGAAAATGCCTCTCTCGCGGACATCAGGGAGCCGCTATCTAATAGAGGGAGACTCCCTGAACATCAGTGAGACTTGAGATCCCTGTTATTGCTATGTCCAGGCTGCGGAGATTCATCCTCTCTGTTGGTCCTGGTGGCCATTGTCACCTTGTCACCAGAACTGAAGGTGAGGGAATCTAAAACCCAAAATGAAGTATTTCACTAAAACAGGAATAGAAGGGAAATCTTCCAATGTCAAGGTCTATTCCAGTGACAACTGTCTTAGGGCCCGTTCACACCAGTTGCAGTGCGTTCCGGCCCGATTCTGTCTAGAATGTACTGCCTTGCATTGCGGCCGGCTCACTTTTTAGTGGGGCAGGAGGGGGCATGGCGGGCGATTGAAGTGAATGGCACCGTAGCCCCGCCCTCCGACCGCAATGCGATGGGCCGCATGGGAACGCAAGGCACATTATGCTTGCGGTCCGGTCTGGTGCGATCAAAATGCTGCAAGTCTCCTTTACATCTGTCAGGGATTACCTGGCAGATGTAAAGGAGACAGCCGTTTGACTTTACAGTGAGACTGGTGCCTAGTAGGGGGAACTAGCATATTATTAATGGACAATCTCTATCTACCCCACCATGGGGTAAGGTAAGTTGCCATTCACTCCATTGTGAGCTGATAACGGGGCCTTTCAGAACCATTCCTCATTCACCACTGCATGCAAGAGAGGCAAAATATATCTTAGGCCCAATTTGTTTTTTCATTTTGCCATGGCCTGCCTATCTTACTAGGGGGGCTATTTCTGCAGGCACCATAGGGACAGTGGATGGTGTATGTTTGCTCTGGTGGGACCAGTTTTTCTGCAGCTGACCACAAGGGTAAGGTGACTTTTAATGCCCTGGGGGAACATGCTCTGGTCTGTCTTTGTGTTGGGAGAGGTACATATAATTATATATGATTGGTTTTCTTTCTTGGCAGACCAGGTATAAGTATAACCACTGCAGAGGTGCAAGCACGACGTTCCCATGGCTCTAGGTAGGGAGCAGTAGGTACTTTTTTTTAAATTCCTTTTCTTTTTGTATTTGTATTGCAAAATAAGCAACTGGACAGTCCGAATTGTTTTCTGTTGTTTTGATGAGATTGTAAAATGTGAATTGAAACTAAACGAGTTTTTCTCAATCTAGTTTTTTTTTTCCATAAAAATATTAAAACGCTGCAACCCTGGTAGTTCTCATGAAAATGCCGGGTATCTGCACTGGTACTCGAAAAGTATCTGTGCAACCCTAATATATATATATTTAACATTTTAAATACATTTATTTATATACATAATACATTTATTAAAATGCATCCCTATTAATAATAATAATAATTAGGGATGCACCAATATATCGGCCGCTGAAAAATATCAGCTGAAAATGGCACTTTTGGCTAAATGCCAAAAGTGCAATTTGCCTGCCTATACAGCGGCACATCCCTGCTTTCTTTCCTTCCCACTGGGCACTGCTCTGTGTCCCAGCGGGGAGGAGAGAAAGTGTCACAGGCGGGCCAAGCTTTGCCGGAGGAGAGCGCGGTGAGCGGCCGGCGTCTCTCCTCCCACACCGCTCAGCCTCCTGTCACAGTCCGGCAGAGCGGTGAGTGGGTGGAGACAGCCCGCGCTGTCACAGGAGGCCGAGCTCTCCTCCCCGCACCGCTCGCTCAGCCTCCTGTGACAGTTGTCAGGATGGAGAGTGGGTACATGGTGTCAGTGATCGCTGAGTGTTTGTACATAATTGAGGACAGAGTATGATTAAGAAGACTACTGCTGACAGATCTCTCATGCAGCACCTGGAGGGTTTTTACTCATTAACAGTACGGCACGCCAATAGACATGTGCCCCCTGCTGATACTAGCCCATGTGTCCTTCATTGCAGGGAGGTCTCTTCGAGAGGGCTCCCTAAGAAAGGCGGGACATCTCCCAAATCACCAATAAGCAATGCTGACCGGTGTGAGAAGCTGTTTGGCTTTACAGGGCTGTCAAACGCTAAAGTATATATGTAAGCCTGAGCAATGATCTTCACTTCTGTGGCCCCTGTCAGTCTGTTAAATTGACCACTGAAAGTGTTTTGCTATAGCTGGTGTCCCGCTGAGCTCCTGGCAACCAGTGATATCACTGATTGCCAGGAGCTTGGAGGGACGCCGGCCAGAGCGCCAAAGGCTGTTAAAAGCTGTGCAGGGAGATGCAGAGTGCTTACACATCTCCCCACCCAGCTCTTAGCAACCTGGGACACACTGGTCAGAAAGAGAGGTTGGTAGGCACACTGCAAACATTGCGCAGCAGAGCGACCATACGGCTCTGCCTGCTGCCTCCCCCACGTGACCCAAAGAGATCCCACCTGAGGCAACAGCTTAATTATAGGGACAGCCCTGGGCTGAAGCATGATGGGATTTATCATTTTCCACACACCTGGAGTACTTCGGTTGCCTACCTCTGCTCTATGCTATGGACAATAGGAGAGGGGCAGGATTCTGTAGTCTTATCTTGAGTCTGTTGTCCTGATACAGAAGAGAGAGTGAGCGTTGGCACCCTAGGACTGTAAGTGTATTACTGGCAGAATCACCAGGTGAAAATAAAAGGAAATAATGCTGAGAAAAAGGAAAACTAATGCAGTCACCACATCTAAGGACTGCTAAGCTGCAATACATTACATTTTTGATATGGGTTTAGATACGCTTTAAGATATTCGGTCACTAGGTGGCAGTGTAATATGTGAAGCCCCCAGTCTATATGTAGCTGGCAGAGGAAATGGCTTTTACAAGTCTGCTGAGCTGACCATGGACTGGACGGTAAGACAGCCGCTGTGTGTTATTTCCTCTGATCCTTCATGTTTTCTTTGTCTTGATTTTTGTAAGTTACATTGTGTAAAGAGCACATGACAACGATCCTTTATATCTGCGTTTTAAAAGTCAAATACATTCAGAGAATATCTCTCGGCTCTGCTGGGGAAAGGCAGCACATTCACATGTAGGAATTATTCACCCATCCGTGGCTTTGTGATGCTGGAAGTGTTGAGTGTCAGCGTCTAGAATTTAGGGATTCAGATTGCCACCCAAATCGATATCCTGAGGCTTGAAATCCGCTCCACGCCGATAACACAATAATCCAATATCCATTTCTAGAGTTCTCACCATCATAACCTGTTATTTTAAGTGAATTCTTCATTTTATCACAATTTAGATGCAAATTCCATGTAGAGTTTGAATTGTAACGCCTCCACCTGGTGAAATCGGTGAAACTATAACATTGGGTGAATAATAATAATAATAATAATACCACTACTTCGATTACTACTACTACTAATAGTTTCTGCCACTACTCTATTATT